AAAAGCCTGGACCTCCAGCTCTGCCTGCTGTATTACTCCTGAGAGTTGTAGTAGAGAGAGGGGTACATTCCTTCACTCACACTCATGCCAGTTTAGGGGCCACCTTAACTCCTCACCAAGTGACTATGAATGGGCCTAAGGAAACTTCCAAAGACCTGTGATTCCAATAAGGCGCCACTCTCCTGCCTCCCACAGGTGGACCAAGCAAAATAGAGACGTTCATCTTGGAAAGATTTTCTATGATTTCCTCTTATTTGAGACTATTTTACCTAGGTTACTTGTACCTTTTAGTACAAAATCTAGAACTCTTGAAGTGAGAATCAGGGATTTCCATACTCCATACCTAACTATTTCGGAGCCTTTCTTTAATGCAAACCACAGCTAAGTGGACCACTCCAGGAGTCCATGCTGTGCTTCCCTGCCGATGTTCTTCGAGCTGCCTACTCCTCCTACACAGCTGTCTGCATCTGTTCCTGGCATACCTGTTTCTCCATGAAGTCATATTCTTCACCACTCAGCCCATTAAGTTCTCGGCACCAAGGCAGGCTCTACAAATTTATTACCATTTGCACAAGGGATCAAACTTCTCTGTTATTATATCATTGAACTGTGAATTCCTGACAGTGGCTCTACATTGCTTATTTTTGCTGCTAAGACATTAAAATTGTGATCTTAGGATCATGCTGGAAATTTGATTAATGCTTGCTGAATGAACAAGAGGCCTTGTTTTGAAGACATCTATGATCTGTCTTCTGGACTGTCATTTGTTGGTGATGGTTTCACTTGGGTTAAACACACAATGTTACATTTGATTGTCATGACAGTTCTATGACACAGCGAATGTGACCATCTATTTCCCCTATAATAAGAGACACCAAGCGATTTGCCCAAATTTGATGCTTGACTTGGAGCATTCCAGGGCTGACACTCTATCGCTGCTCCTGGGTAGGTACCATGGCTGTGTGGTGTTGTTTTACTCGTTCCTATGTGAGTGACTCCTTTGCATGCCAGTTTGAACATTCTTGGCAGCTCTGCTTAGCTGGCAATAGAAACTCAGCTCATTCTGCTCACAGCAAAGAATACGCAACACATTTTCCACCCATAAATAAACCTGAAAGCAAATATTGGAATCTATAAATTCTGTTATTTAAAAAAAAAAGGAGGAGGAAGCTATTGAGTATTTCTCAAGCATCTCGCTCTTCCCAGCGCTGGCAGTTGGAGATAGGAAAGGGAGCTGAGGCTGAGTGGTGCCGAGTGCCAGATACGTGTCTGCAGACAGAACGGACAGAATGAGGCATCGCAGGTTCTCAGCTCGCTTTCCTGCCAGCCCCTTCCTTCACAGAGCTTCACCTCCCTCTCACATCCACGACAGTGCATCCTTGAAGCTACATTGTGTGTCTTGCTGTCTGTTTTTGCTCTTCCTCTAGACCTGCCTGTCCACAATGGTACCCATCAGCTACAGCTGCATCTGAGCATTTGAAATGCATTCAGTCCAAAGGCAGTGGTGCTGAATCAGACACACACAATCATCTTCTTAGGAAAACTAGAGTCTAAACCATCTCATGTTTATTTTGAACCTATGTCAAATGGTAACGTTCTTTTTGCACTGGGCTAAGTGAGCCATGTTAAAATTAAGTTTTGCAGGTGGGGTGGTGCATACAAGTAATCCTAGTGTCCTAGGATGCTAGGGCAGGAGGACTGAAAGTTTGAGCCCAGCCTGGGTACTTAGTAACTTGATGAGATCATGCCTCAAAATAAAAAACAAAAAGGGGTAGGGATCTAGCTCCATGCAAAGGCCCTGGGCTCAATCCCACAGCACAAAAAACAAACAAGTAAATTTCTTTGTTTCTCCTCACTTGTTCAATATGAAGACTAGAAAATTGTGCGTGGCTCACATTATGTTTCTACTGAGTGTCACTGGTCTGGATTCTGAATTTCTGGAGGAAGGCTATTATTTTCCTCTAGGATGTAGAAGAGTCCTCTATCCAGAAATCTCCACTAAGGATGGCAGGATATATGATATTATGTGCCACTGAGCTCTGGATGTTTTCTGGCCGCAGTGAAGAAAAGATTAAAATCTATCGGGGAAAAAAAAAAGAAAAAAGAAAAAAAAATCTATCAGGAAAGCCCCAAGGAAGCAACATAACCTAGTCAGATGGTGAAAAACCTTTTCTGTTTTTTGTTTTCCTAGTACTGAGAATTGAATACAAGGTCTCTGCACTGAGCTACATCTCCCCCAAACTTTTTTTAAATTTGAGACAGGGTCTTACTAAGTCACTAAGTTACCCAGGCTGGCTAGAACTCAGAGTTCTCCTGCCTCAGCTTCTCAGAGTGCAGGGATGATAGGCAGGTGTCACTGTGCTCACCTACAGACGGTGAACATTTTAGCTGGTCTCCTCTGAGGGGAAGCTCAACTCTTTCAGCAAAGAGAACAATTAACAGACCAAAAAGCCAGCAGAGAGGGCAGGTCTGAGCTATAGAACACCTGGGGCTGGCGGTGGAGGAGTTGGTACCAAGGATCAGATGTGGGCTATAGAAGTCCTCAGAAGCTTCCCCTGGGCATTAGAATAAACAGTGATTCCCCTGGGTGAGCAGGCAGAGTAGGTGCTGTGGTGATGCCTCCAGGCCCCTCCTTGCCCTTACAGATGAATGAGCCTATTGATCTTCTGGTGTACCTGAAGCTGTTGTCCGAACACAGCAAGGTGCCAGGTTCATACAAAGGGCAAGACAGGAGTGGCAGGGAATCCCAGCCTGGCTGGGAGTGGTCCTCCCCTGAGGACGCCAGGGGCTGGGTACTGATGGGTGAGCACACAGCTTTTCACCTCCCACCAGCGCAAGCCCTGGGCCCATGCACAGTTCTGTGCAGTGGCTGTTGCTCCCTGGAACACCTGGAATTGGCTTCCGTCCTCTTTCACACTCTCCCATCTGTGCTTCTTGGGGACATCTCCATGCTCTACTTACATCTGAGTCTGTCTCTGTGCTGGACTCTGGAGGCCACAGGAGTGGTGAGGACATCCTACGTCTGACTCCTGATCACCTTGGGGCTCATCCTCCCTCCTCCCACTAAAGCCTGCACCTGCTCCCCGCATGGCCCCTACACAGCAAGGCTTCCGCTCACACCACTGCACAACCTTCCTCCTCTCCCGGAAATCCTAGGTTACCAGCTGGGCCTTCAAAGACCCTCACATCAGGCGCCGGCTTCCCAGCGTGCCTGGGCCCACTCCACTCCAGCCTCACATTCTTATGTTTTAGCTATGCTGTCTTCCTCCTCAAAAGCACCTTTCAAATTTTCTCGCCCTGTCATTCATGCATAAATGTTACACTCCAGGTGGCTTTGGAAATGCTGGCTTCTATTACTACCCTAGCCTCATCCAAACTGCTAAAATCAATTGCGTGTGTGCGTGCATGTGTGTGTGTGTGTGTGTGTGTGTGTGTGTGTGTGTGTGTGTTTCGAGCAGCTGGAAGTTCTCTTTCCCATTCTGAATTAGGAGTGCAGACATGGACTTTGGATTTCAGGTTCTGTTTCTGCACTGTGTTCAAATGTGACAGTGCACTGACACTGGCTATGTGAGGCCTTGAGATTCATGCAGGGGGCACAAACACGCCATACAAAAGAACATACTGTAATCCCAGCACTCAGGAGGCTGAGGCAGGAGGACTGTTTCAAGTTTGAGACCAGCCTGGGCTACAAAATGAGCTCTAAGCCACTCCAGATGACATAGCAAGACCCTGTCTCAAAAAGACACACACACACACACACACACACACACACACACACACACACACAGAGAGAAAGAGAGAGAGAGAGAGAGAGAGAGAGAGAGAATATATGTGAAGATCTTAGGAGGTGACTTTGTAAGACTTTCAGTGATGGCACAATAACACTTCTATTTTGTAAATTCAGTTTCACGGTATTTTGGGGGTACAAGCCTGGCTCTAGTTTGTTGGATGCCTGCTGAGAAATATAATAAAACACAGGGGCCAGCCTTCCCCATGATGAATTCCTCCTGGCGGAGACCCTAACTCTTGAAAGTGCGCTCTTACCTATCTCTGTGATAACCTTGAGAAGCATAGGTCACAAATATGAAACTTGTTGAGATGCGTTAAATTTTAAAATCAGGGTGTTATAGAGCCCTTGGACGGAGGACCACAAATAAAAGCAAGCAGCTCGACACGCACATTAGTTGCTGCAAAGCAAAACAAGTGTATGAGTATCACCTTGAAGTCTGCACAAAACAAAATCCCTGAATTTTTAGAGACGAAAAGATGGCATTGTATTTTATGTTTATTTAAAGGGTGGAGCAGGATGATAGGTGGTTAAGGGCATGGATTCCAGTGGTGAAGATATAACTTGGATTTGGCAAGTCCTGGCTCTGTCACTTATTAGCTACGTGATCCCTGACAAGTGCAATGGCTCTCTGTGCTTGTCTGGTCATCGTTCACGGGCATAATGACTGACCCGACCTCGTAGCGCTCTGGGAAGGTCAGAAGTTAGTACCTGCACAGCTCTTTCACAGCATCCAGTAGTCAGCGCCTTATAAATGCCTGCAATTATAATTATTAGGTTTATTGTTATGGGTGTCTAGAGAGGCAGCAGCTGCAGTACAAGATACTTTTAGTGCTTCTTGTTTTTCTGGTGGTTTTCTTGCTTGAGGGAATTTGCATGTCTTTTGAAATGATTTTAACTGTCAAATAGTTGTATGTATTTATCATTAGACTTGATGTTTGGAACGTGAAGCATGGTGCACTGGCTAATGAACTAGCGAACGCATGGATTAGCTTGCATACTTATTATGCTAAATGTCTTTTTAAAAGCTTGCCTCACTTCAGCCCCTAATCTCCTTTCTCCGTGGGCTCTTTAGCCCTCACTGAGGGGTGTCTTACTGTGTAAAAACACAGTAAGACATTTTTCTTTCTCAGTCACCCATTCCTTGTGTCGTCTTAACAGTGGGGCCGCTCATCCAACAGCTAGTTATGTGGAGTAAACCACGATGCTGGAAGAGGAGATGCTGAATACTTTATTTATATATTTTATGTAAACATAATTTGCTTTGTAGGCACAATATAACAAAAGCTCTAAAGCCACAAACACAGTAGACGATGTTTCAGTTCACTCCCACCAAGCTTAAGCTACAGAGAAGCCTTCACAGTTCTTTAAGGCAAGCTGGGACAGTTCTTTACACTTCATTCAGAAAAACAATCACAAGACGGCTCAGAATGAGAGTCCACGAAGTGATTCCTTGGAAGGTGGCTCCCTCCATTCTTCAGAGCAGAAACTGATGTTGTCAGTCAAACTTTAGGTTTCTCATTCTGATTTCTGAGGATGGGGTGATGGCTGGAGTGATGTGTGATTACTGGATTCACTTTTCTGGTTAAAAGGCAGATTTTGGAAGGGATGACCTTTTATTTTTTCCTCTGGACATCGTAAGAGCCATCTGGATTCTGAACGTGGTCAGTTCTCCCTGCCCTGGGGACAAAGAGCCCTCATGGGGCCAGGAATTCTTGACTCCCTCAACCCTAGAAAGTGCCTTTCCGCCCTACTTCATCGGAGCCCTACTTGGTCAGTGGTCCACTTTCTGAGGCCCTCTCAGCATAGTTATGGGAGAAGCATGACCCATAAGATGACCTTTCACATAGGTATGTGTGGGGGGTAAATATCCCATTATCTCTCTGGATGGCCCAGAACTGAAATTTTGGTGAGTGCTGGGGTAGCTAGGAGGAGAGGATGACTTTGGTATCCTCTTCTGGAATATTCTCACCCTTCAGCTCATCGACTCTCAGCACCCTTTTTGCCTTCATATCTTACATGTACTTTCATGAGGAGCAACTCCTTCCATATCAATATTTGGCATAAATAAGTCATCATCACAAGCTTAGAAGAGGAAAAAGGAACCAGGAGAGAGAAGCGATGCTTGTTACAAAAGGACTTGTGAAATCAAACAGGAGCTTGTTGAAACGCACGTGTTCCCACACTTGGGGAGAGTTAGGTCCACCCTAAATCTTATTGGTAGAGAAACTGGTTGATGGAGGAACCCTCTTATACCTTCAGCAATGCTAACTGCATGAGCATGTGGGAAGTCTCTCACTCTTCCATAACACAAAATAAGTGGGGGTGCTAATTCCCCAGCCTGCTTTGTGTTTCTAAGAGCTGGGTTTGTGAGTGACAGAAATAACCCTTTGGTCAAAAGGACTGGAAGAAGGGAACAAAGAGCCCCCTTGTGGAGACGCCAAGATTCCTCTTCCTCCAGGACAACTATTTAGCTCTCAAGCTCAGCCAAATGGCGTAGGGTAGGAGTTCATAGGAATTTAGGAGCTGTACAGTTGAACAGGGCATGCAATCAAACAGTTCAGTCCCTGATTTACAAGGTGCAGGGGCCTACAGAATTGGCACCATGGTCTTAGGTATCAGAGGGGAGAATCCCACATCTGGCAGATGCTGAACAGTAACATTTTTTTATCCCTAGAGTTTGTCACATGCTGGAACATAGTTTGGCAAGACACAAGAGAACTCATCAAATTTTCCAAAAGCATATATGAGCTAGAAGGGAGTTCTTTCTTGGGGTAAGGTGGTTACTTGTAATCAGGAATGAAACATAGGAAAATTGAAACATTGATGGTAAGTATGCAAACACAGGAGAGTTTTAGTAAGGACACCTGAATTAGGCCACACAAGAGGAGTTTTCTTACATAAAAATGTATGTGGCCATGGGGAGGAAATGCTTATGATACATGGCCTCGGGGGAGAATCTCTGTGATGAGTCCTCAGCTGCATGCTGTTGACCCATCTTCTGTCCTAAGAAACCCACTCCTGTCCTCATGTTTATGAATCCAACCCTAGAGGGTCAGAGGAGAGCAGCTCAAACCTTACAGCCTTAACACTATGGGATGAAGGTAACCAGTTGCCTCATAAAGGGAGAAAGGAAAAGTACTATTTGGAGCGTTTCTACATTTCTGGGCGCACAGATAGCTCTCCTGGCCTACTCTCTTTCTGCCAGCTGAATTGGCAAGTGCTCCTGTCAGAGGTACGGGTGGCTGGTGGTGAAGAGTGTCACTGGCCAGAAGAGCAGGACCTGCAGAGTGCTTGTGACAACAACTTTCAATCCAGACTTCTCCTTGCCCCTGTCCTGGGGGCTCGCTTTACTTTGCAAGGGTGTCCTAGAGCCATCGAGAAAGACCTGGAGGTGGATAGTTTTGATACAGGGGAGAGGGAAGGGTGTGGTGCGCGGATCAGGGAACGACATAATACTGCATGGAATGGGATTGGCACTTAATTCCAAAAAACAACAGTGATCAACAGCTTCTTAGCTCAGCTGACTGCAGACAAACACGACACGCACTGGACTACAGCATTTGTTCACTGGGACACAGACAAGTTTTCACAGCCGGTCCAATTCTTTGACAAGGTCTGTCCTTCATGTCCTGTCGCCCAGGTCCTGGCTTACTGGATAAAGGGCATCCGCTCCTTGTTCTCGCTGTCGCCCTCATGGTCTTCCTCCTCTTCCCCCGCCTCGCTGGTCTCTGTGCTGTCGTTGGCCATCTGCGATTCAACAGAGGACGTCACCAATGGCTCTGCAACCCACCCCTCGCCCTCTCTGAGGATCTGAGAAGGCCCCGCACAAAAACTTCTTTGAGAGAGTTCAGTGATGCAGGAGAAAGTACACGCCAGGGTCCCTCTTAACATCTCACCTGCACATCCACAGTGAGGAGCGACTCCTTCCTGATAAATACTTAGCATAAATGCACCATCATCAATCACAAACTTAGACTAGGACAGGAGGCAGAATACAACGGGTGGGGTGAAGAGGCGTCTGCCTTTCCTCCTTAGCGGTCCTCTCAGCTCGGGACTAACCCCTCGCTTCTGGAAGCCTTCCTTTGCCCAGGTCCCCTTAGCAAGCCTGCATTCCCTTCCACCCAGCCGCAGCTACACCGCATGGACCACTGCTCCATTTCTTGTGCTAAATGATCGCTCTGCTTTTCACTCACCAGCGGAGTAGGGGTCTTTTCTACATCCAGAATTAACTTTCCGATGTTCCCTCGGTCGTGGATCCGCTGCATGGCCTCCTTCACCTAGAGAGAGGGGAGAAATAGACAGTGTGATTAGAAGGCACCTGGGCCAGGTGGAAAGCGGGGCCCGGAAAAGCCACAGCATCAGCTTCCGCCAGGGGGCGCTGCAGCCCAAGCTTCGTGCCCCAACCAGCGATGTAGGTTGGACTCCCCTGTGCAAATAAATTCTGGTTGTGCCTTTCGCATATTCTGATCTCGTGCAAGTCTCCTGGCTCTAAAAAATAATGAGAGCTACAGATTGCTGAAATAAGCACATGAAATTTTCTTTTAAAAACTAGAGGAAGATTCCCTAGCGTTCCAAGAGTGACATGACGCAGGGTGGCAGGAAATGTCAGTCTAATAAGTATTGAGCAATGAAGGAATTCTGAGGGTCCTTTGAGTCCTTCTTAGAACTTGTGTGTTGGGTAACTCTGACTCATGATTTGGTAAAACCCATTACCCAAGGCTGAACTGCATTCTGGAAAATTCCTCTGATTCCTGGTTAGGGGAAGAAATTTTGTTTCCATTTAGGGGGGATTCTCTTTCAGAATGAGAATTCTGCCCCCAATAGGTGGTAGTCAGACCAATGGATGTCCCTGGTGCCCTCTGAAAAGGAGAGGGTGTGACAATCCATTTGCTCTGAGCGCTTATTTCTGCGGCTGTGCACAAAATGAACGGGAGGGGGCGCTGCGGCGAGTAAGTCCGGTGAGAAAAGGGCTTACAGAGCCCAGTTCTTGCCCTGGGGACTTGGTCCTCCACATCTCTTTTTTTTTTTTTTTTTTTTTTTAAAGAACTGTATGCTGGGTGCGCTGGCACACATCTGTAAACCCTGCACGCTGAGACAGGAAGATTGCAAATTCAATATAATGGGCAATGTGACATTGGAATCCCGGGGCTTTAGCTCAGTGGAAAAGTCCTGATTCAATTCCCAGTATACACACACACACACACACACACACACACACACACACACACACAATAGAGCTAGTCTAAATATTTTTCTTCAAGCCTCCTGTTTTAAAATATTTTTGTTCATGCAGTCCACAAACAGTAAATGTTACTTCCAAGCTAGATACCATAATACAAAAAGAAGTAAATAGTAAGACATGGTCCCTGCCTTTGAGGAACTCAGCCTGTGGCTGATGGAGTGGTGTTTGAACAAAAACCAAACCTTCTTCTCCTTTGGATACAAACTTGACAGAACCATTAAAATGTTTGTATTCAAATTGCTTTTCTCAGATTTTTATTCTAAAGACATTGCTCAATGTTTTTTGTGGGGGGGATCACCTAAGAGATACTCAGTCATATTATTTTAGTGGCAAAACATCAAAACAACTTATATGTCACTCAGAAAGGGGATGATTAAATAAAAAATAGTGCTTACATTTATCTACTGAATGGAAATTGTGTAGCTGCTGAAGAATAAAAAGATATATACAACTAATTAGAAAGAATACACAGCAGGATTAAATGCTTCTGTAATATTGCTAAATGAGAATGCTGGCACACATTTTAATTTACATCAGCATAAAACATGGATATTCTAAAATAACTAGAAAAGAATATATATATGTATATATGCAAATGTAGGGGAAGTGGGTGCTTTTAAGTCTAGTGTGCAAACTTTATTACTTAGTAGCATGTTATCAATATTTTAAATTAAATGTTTTTAAGTGCAACCTTTGGATAATTTTGTTAGAATCAACCTGTTTTACAGATTGGCAGTGTCCGATGATTGTTAAATTCTCTGACCCTAATATAAAATTCAACCGCTTCATTGTATTTCTGTAATGTCTTTACTTTTTTAAGTTCTTTCATATTTGGTCATAATAATGGGCATCAGAGATGTCCCTGGTTCTAGAACACCCATCTACCTGAATCTTGGGCACAGGAGTCCTTTACATACACTGTTGCTATGCAGGAGGAGTGCTCAAAACATACAGCTCATATTTACTTTTGAAGACTTCATTAGGTACAAGACACAATGCCATTGCTCCTCCCCCTAAAAATACTCCTCCTCTCACTCCGAACACATTTGTCCCATCATTTTGCCATTTCCCAAAGCAGTTGTGGAAGTCTTTTTCTCCTGAGGGTCTTCAGTTGTGCTGTTGTGGATGCCTTGATGTCCTAAACTGATTTCAAATGTTTCCCATTCATGATCATTCTGACTTTGGGGAAGACCAGAAATCCCTCCGCACCAGATCTGGTGAACAAGGTGGACCAGAATACACTGTCATGCTTTTATGAGCTGCCTTTTGGCTGGATGGCAGGTGGTGGACGTATTCACCTAATTTTGGTCGCACCTTTAATGGGGACTACACTTGCTTCCAACCAACAGAGCAGATCAGAAGTGCTGGGATGTCCCTTTGAAGGGCAGGTGATAAAGGCTGTGATGGCCACAACACAGTCTCTCCCTGACCCCCTCACCCTGCTGCAGAGCTGCCCACGTGGCAGGAGCCGAGACTCCAGGCAGCAGTCCCCAGAGTGAGACCATAGCCCCATCTGCCACCTCAGCTGTAGCCTGGGAAAGCCAAAGATTCCCGCTAAGCTGCTGCCAGATTCTTCCCTCAGAGAACCCAGGAGATCACAACTGCTGATGTGAGCCAAGATGATCTGGGAGTACGCACGGTAACAATTTCATATGTCCCCCCCTTGCATACATAGTTCTTAACTTGCATGACATATTACACAAATTTTACAGGTAAGTACCCTGATGTTAAGAAAGTATAAGCAACTTATTGTAACATTTACAACTGTGGACAGAATTGTGGTTCAAAATAAGGTGGCCAGACCTCAGTCAGTAACTTTTTTCCCAGTTCTACCCAGACTAAGCTGCTTCATTTGATTCTCACAGAGGGAGGGAAGCAGGAGTCTCCCTAATGGTCTCACATAATAGCTCCCCAGTTGTTTACCTCCCTGGCAACTCATTACACACCTGGAAGCTCCGTGGAGATTACGAACAGTTCTTAAACTGCTTCTCTAATGAGACAGAGCCCAGGGAAACAGAAAAGCTGTTTTCTCATCAGTTAATGCTTATTGTGATGCTAGAGATTGAGAAAAAAAGCCTGCCGGGCTGCTTCTAATCCACATGTTTGGGGACGTTTCCTTCTGAAATGAACTGGCTCCTTCAAGTTTCCTATGTGGGATGGATATAGGGCTGGGAGGATTTCTAAGAGATCACTTAATTTGTCCAATCCCCAGGCATGCTGTTAGGATTTCCATCTTCTAAGTCTGCGCTCAGAGATAGGCAGGAACAGGTCTGATGGCAATTTAAAGGCAATTGCCATTTTTGATCAGTTCTTTATCAGATGCAGCATGTGGTATTTATGTGTGTTAATTCTTTTTTTTTTTTTTTTTTTTTCTGCACAAAACCCTCTTAGGTGACTGTTTGTGGCTGCTTTTTACTGATGAGAAATCTAAGGAGGAAACTTCCCAGGGTTCTGCTCTGGCCTTATCTGAACAGGGGTGCAATCATGGAGGAGAAAGCCAGAGGGTCTCTCCTTTGGAACTCTGGTCACATCTCAGAGGGGGCTCTGCTGGCGACACCCCAGGCTGTCCTCAGGTACATTCTGTCAAGGTCCAGCTCACACCTGCAGATTTTGCCCCCAAGTTACCCACTTATAAATGACACCCGGAGGGTGACATCACTCAGGGAAAGCTCACAGCCTGTGGAGCTTGAGTTGTCTTCCTGTGGCTGCCAGAGAGATTTTTCTAAAGCACGAGTCTGCTTGAAACCCTTCCTATTTCCCTGGGTGGGGAAGTCTATCAGAACTGCACCAGCTCATCCTACAGCCACACACACAGGACTTCAAAGACTTCATCATCCTGAAGGAGAACAAAAGCATTGTTCACAGCGATTAAGTGTAGAAACAATGACACTTAAATTATACTGGCTGAAATGAAGCCCACGCAAGCTGATTTCTTGTGCTTTTTTGAATGCGGATTCTTGTTGCACATACATCACGTCCTTGAGCTGGACAGCTCTGGCTGGAGATTTCAGGGGGCCATGTCTGCTGCCTTTGTGGCTTCGCTGTTCCCCTTCTTCTCTTAGACCCCTCACTATCACCACCTGAGATGGGTCAGAGGTCACTGAGCCTGAGGTGCTACTGTGTTTTGCGGGTCCCTTCCTGGAGCATCATGGTCCTCGAACTAACTCGGATTTGTCGTGCGCCTGTTGACTGTGACATGAGATCTCCCAGGCACTGGCCCTTCATCCTCACCTTGAGCCTCAGAGTCTGGCCTAGTTCTTCTCTTGGGCTCCTGTCCTTCAGGCCAGCCATGGAGACCATCACTACTGTGGGCTTGTGACTCCCACCCCAGCTTTCCTCTATACCCCTTTCAGTGCTGTCTAATACACCTACGAAACAAATGACCATCATAGCCAACATTTCCTATGGATTATCTATGTGAAGGAGTGTAAGGAGAAACCAATGAACTTGATTTTAATAATATATCTTCTTTAAGCAAATATAGACAAAATATTATCAGTTTAACATATACAAGGGGTGATCAAAATGCAGTGAAGGCTTATTGTATTTTAAAAAGCTTAATACAGTAAAAGACACATCACTGAGTACAACGAGGTAAGTGTGCCTCAAGAAAGGGGAACTGTGAGGATTCGGAAGGGGTCAGTGGCAGGGTCTCTTTTACTGTAATATGGTTTTTAATTTAGACCACCACCATATGCTTTGATCACTCCTGGTGGATCATTTATGGAAATTTCTGTCAAACAGACACGATGCTGTGTTCTTATCCATCTCATTCACTGATCTGGAGCCCCATGGGACTGCTGGTTCTTCCCCAAAGTCAAAGTGACCAGGAAAGGGAAGCACTTAGAATGGAGCCAGGACATCCAGGCAGCCATGACAGTGGGACCAGGACCTCCAGAGCTGCTTCCCAAAGTATCAAGAATGGTGTGATGCGTGTTCTGAGGTGGAAGGGTATCGGGAGGGGGACGATTGGCGGATGAATGGCGGTGTGTCTTAAAATTTAACATTTGCTGTATTGTTTCATCTATAAACTAT